AAGGGAACTGGCTTGCCAAAGAGCACGCAGGAGTGATGGGGGGACCAGCCTGCTCCCCAGCCCGCCCCCAAGGACCTGCTCCCCAGTCCAGCTGCCGCGGTGGCCTCGGCTCTGGATGTTCTCGGTTCTCCCGGTTTGGGCCATCTTCTCCAAGTCACGGTTATGCGCTGGAATCACAGGAGGAGCTTTCAAATCACGGGTGACTGGGCTCCCCGCCCTCAGATCCCGTCTGCTGGGTCTGGAGTGCAGCCTGAGTTTGGGGATTTGTAAAGCTCCCCCAGGGATGCTAACGCACAGCCAGAGTGGACGTCCAGTGATGCAGAGGGAGCGGGTAAACCTCACCCCGAATGCCCTCCTCACCCCCTGCCTGCCTCACCGATGCCCAAGGAAAACCGCCGACGGCAACTCCAAAATAAAGTGTGAAAGGATTGCCAGCTGGGGAATGAAACTTGACGAGGCCGCCGCAGCTGGCTAGACCCTGGTCTCGGGATACTAGGGTGTCATGGCCAGGAACCCAAGCTGCCTCAGGAGTTCCATGTCATTCTGTGCCCAGATGCGCAGGGAAACACACGCTCTTTGCTCTAAAGCCCCAGTGGCCTGAGAGGGGAACACCTGGACCCCCCTGAGTGAGACGCTCTAAGTTGGTATGAGACAGCAGTGGGGGGCCTTTAAAGAAAATTTCAGGTGTCGGACCACGAGGCTAGTTAAAAAAAAAAAAAAAAAAGTGGATGACTTTAAGCTTCTCCGTGAGCACTGCTGGGGAAGGGTTAGGGACAAAAAAAGTCAATGACTCCAATTAGAGGAGGTTTCGGTCTCTGTGAACTCAGTGAATGGGAGGGGGGAGCTTTAGAGATGGGGATGCAGGTGGGGCTGGGGACCAGATGGCAGCATTCCAACCCCGGCGCCTTCAGCACCCACTCCCCGCCACGTCCTTAACTCTGCTGCACCTCGACTGGCCCATCTGTGAAGGGGGAGAACAGAGTCTGGCCAGCAGGGTTGTTGGGGGTGTTCAATGCGTCGAAGTACATATAGAGATCCTGCCAATAGCGCCAGGCCCTAGTAAGTGCTCAGTAAACTCGAAATACTGGCTGCAGAGCCCCGTGGTGGCTGGGGCTTCGCTTGGTGTATGGAGTGAGGGGGGCTACGAGGCTCCACAGGGGTCCCCTCGGGCAAGGCCACATGAGGAGCTAAACAATTCAAAGCTGATTCTCAGAGCAATGGGCTCTGTTTGAGGCTGTAACCAGGACATAACAAAAATCAGGTCAGTTTTGGAAAGCTCACTCAGGGTTCCTCAAGGGCTGGAGGGCTGGGGTCTCCTGGAGGGAGGCCAGAGTGGCAGGCATGGCAACAGGGCTGGCATCATGGCTGTGAGATCTGTGCGGTCACACACAGGGTCCCATGCTCGGAGGGGTCTGTGTTTAGCTTAACTCTCTGCTGTCACCATCCCAGAACTCCTAATACTTTTCCAACAAAGGGGTCTGCATGTCCATCTTGCACTCAGCCCCTACAAATTATGTGGCCAGCCCTACCTTACAGGGACATCTCATTTGCCCTACATTTACCTAACCAGGTGAGGCAGTGAAGGTTACGCTCCCCTCTGAAATGAAGAAACGGAGGCCCTAGGAAGGTAAGTCAACTGTCCCAGGGCGCAGCTGGTCAGTGGCAGATAGCAGCATACGCCAAGTCTTGGGGTTTCAACTTGGGGACCACCACAGTGAGGTAGCTAGCCATCTCTGTCTCTCAGAGAGCAGTGCGGAGGCTCGCCCGGGCCTGGGCTGCAGAAACGGCCCCTCCTCATCCACCCTGGGCTGAGCAGGAGGTGGCAGGCGGTACTCGACCCCCCTGCCAGCCGGAACTGGGTCTGGTCCAGGCCAACACCCACGGATCTGGGTCACATGGCGAGTCCCACACTGCAAGGTGCAGTGATGAATGAAACAATGCAACAGGAACAAACACAAGTAATCTTTGCAAGTCCAGGGTCCTTCCTCTGCACCCTGCCTCCTCCTCCTCCTCCATCCCCAATAATTTACATCAAATTCAAGGAAAGAAGCGGGGGAATCTCCACCAACAGCTGAAAACCTGCCCTGTGAAGGGAGAGTTGGCTAGCCAATCCCACCCTGTCTCTGGCTTCCTCTTCTAAGGGGCCAGTCTGGCCCAGGCACTGTTCTAGGAGTTCCCAGTAAATAAAACAGATACAAATCTTTGCCCGAGGGAGCTCAAGTTTTAATGGGAGAGAGAAAGAATAAGGATAATAATTAAGTGAACGATACAGAGTTAGGAAATACAGCTGCTTAAATGAAAAAAAAAAAAAATAACCACAAACAATGAAAATAGTAGCCAAAATGGATTGGGGGCTTACTCTGTGTCTAAATGCTTTATGCATGTTATCTTATTTAAAGCTCTCAATGATGGGTACTAGAGTCTCCCCCAATTCACAGACAGAAAAACACACCAGAGGTAAGTCGCAAAGTCCCATAGGCATTAAAAAAACAAAGCATATTGATAAGAAGGGGCACAATCCTCCTGATTTTGCTTTCAGGAGAGCAGAACAAGCAGGAAGCCTGGTTTTCTTCCAGGTCCTAAAGTGGGGGAGGGGTCCAGTCAGAGTAAGCCCCTCCCCTCGGTTCTTAAGAGATGGGACAGTGTCCTGGGGACCTCCAAGCCCTCCCTTTTCTCCGAGAGCGAAAGCTTTAGAGTTAGCAGCCTTGCATTCAGATCCCAGCTCCACCAGCTCACCAAGGCCTTGGCCATGATTTTGATTTAAAATGAGATTAAAAACCCCTCTCACAGGTGACGGACCGCACCCCACAGTGCCTGCATAGCAGAGAATGCCCCACGTGGGCCCCCCACTCATGGACCCCATGATGCCCCCTCCCTTCTCTCTGCCAGTGCTGAGAGGGGAGGGGCCACATGTCTCCCAGCTCCACAAGGTAGGGTACGTGGCAGAGGGCTGAGCCTGGCACAGAGCACTGAAGAGGAAGGTGCCTGGGACGGTGGAACCTTCCTTAGAACCTGAGCCCTGGAGTTAACGGATCTTAAGGTGCAGGTTACTGAGCACAAGTGGCTCATCCTCCAAGGTGTGAATGTGAAGTGCTGAACCCAATCTCATTGTTAGGTGGGGAGCCCACACCCCCAAGGAATTGATTAAAGCGCCTCATTAAGCTGGGGGCACCTATGGCACTGGATACCCCAACATCCAACTCAAGGGGTACGAGGTCAGGAGCTGTGCGTGACCTGGGACCCTGGCCCAGCCTTCAGTCCAGCTTCCCTGAGGTCTGAGGCAAGACCCTCAGCCCTGGGGACTCAACTTCCTTCTCTTAAAACCTGGGGATCAGCTGCAGATTGAAGGCATTAAATGATCAAAGACAGTGATTCCTCCCAATAAGGTCAAAATCACTGACTCCCATGGGGATGAAGCAGGAGGCAGGAAGGAGGCTTTGTGGGACCAGGGACCAATGTGCCGGTATGAGGGCTGTCCCTGAATCCCATCTGAGGGGTAACTGCCCTATGTCTGCAAGTGTTTTGTCCGGTGCCAGCCTCAGGGCTGCACTGAAGGGGTGTGAAGCTGGCAGATGTTCTCGAGATGGCATCAGTGCCCAGGACGGGCAGAGTACCATGTGAACCAGTGCAAGAGGTCCAAGGCCAATGTCCTCTCCAGGCCTAACCCCCACCGTGCCTGCCCACCTGCCATGGGGGTCACTGCCAGGCTTTTTTCCTGAGAAGGCTGTCACTTTACCCTGATTTCACACCTGGAGGGAGGAGCAGATGGGGATAGAGAGTCCCCTCCTGTGAGGCAGGTACCAGAATCTCTGTTTCGTGAATGAGGAAACTGCCTCGTGGAAAAGCTTCATCCACTAACTCCCACCTCTGAGCTGCAAACTCTACAAGCTGAGTTAAGGGCTTCTCATGCAGCCAGTCCTGAGAGATACGACTTAATGTTTAGCCCGATTCCACAGGTGGTGACACGGAGCTTCTGAGAGGGCTCAGACACTTCCCTTGGTCATCCTGCTGAGCAGCTAAGGGGAGGTCTGAACCCAGAGGCTTCACCTTAACTTCTAGAATAGGCTAACTTCTTGATATAGCAAGCTGCTTAGTGGAGGGGATGGAGTCAGGATTAAGTCAGTCCCTGCCCACACGAAAACCCTGTTTTCCTGACTGGACACCCACAGTGTGCTGCTTCAGGCCAGGGTATCCCCTGGGGCTCCAGGCTCTGAGGGGAAGTCTGGTGGAGACCCCGTTAGAGGCTGGCTTCCAGAAGGCCTAACCCAGCACAGCGTGGACCATGAATGAGGTGGCTGGACCCACAAAAGACCCATTGTGATCACTGCAGAAAGCCAAGGCCAGACTCTTCGGGACCCTCTGCTGACTCCTGCCCCCAGCTCCCCCGCCTCCTCCTCTTCCTATGGCACCCCAATACCCAGAGCACAGGACCAGGATTGGCTGAGGAAGAGGCCTCCTGCTCTGCCAGGCCTGGGGCAGCCTGAGCCTATGGAACCCTAAAACTCTCCAGCCGCCGCCCGGCTGGTGTGATGGGCCCAAGACCCCTGGGGATCCTCGGGGGCTCGTTCGAGGTGCCTGGGACCGACCTGTCAGTTGGAGGGGTGGCCGACGAAAGGAGGTGCTCTAGAGGGGAGCGAGGGGCTGATGGCTTGTGTACTCCCATCTGGAGGAGGGAGCAAGTCCGTTTCCCAGTATGATGGGAGGAGGCTGCGGGTTTGCGAGGTGTGAGGACAGGCTGGGGAGGTGGCAAGCCGGGGAGAGGGCTCTGCGGAGGGAGGGGTGGGGTGGCCCCGGAGGCGGGTGGCCTTGCCCGGGGAGGTGGGGGGCTGCACGAGGGGGCCCCCCGCGAATCCGGCTCGCTTTGTGTACGGCAGGCGGCCGACCTGGGGTCCCCGGGGGGCCTGCCAAGGCATGCACCGAGCCGGGGTCCGTTTCTGCGTGCCAGGCGGGAAGGGGTCCTGCGGAGGGGGCTTCCCGGTGGTGGGGGTCGCCACACTCACCTCCTGAAGTCAAAGGGCATCGTGCCGTCGCCGCCGCGGGTGGGAGCG